AGAAAAAAATATCCAAATGCCTTCACTGTGACTGTATCAAATTTGAATCATCTGTTAGTCACTTATCTCATGCAAATTCTATCTTGTGCAACTCAACTTTTCTTTACTCATGCTTTGGTTACTGCTCTGCTGTATGAAAGCTTGCAGAGTTCTGCTAAAGACAGAGAAAAGAGATTATGGTTTGATGTCTCCTAAAAGGTCATCTTACAACAAAAATGCATTGGCTCCATTTTAACCTGCAAGAGAAAGAGGTGACATTTGTCAAATCTGGGGATGAAGGAGTCTGTTGTCAAATGCCAAGACATCCCTGGACAAATGCTTCATTGTTATAGATGTATGGATCAGTGGTACCATCTGGCCTTATTCAGCCTCTATGTGTGGCAGAATTACTGACCAGTGGGGAGACACTATGGAGGCAGATCCTTGAGTACAAAGGAGTAAATGGATGATAGACATGAAAAGATAAGCCCAATCTCCATTTGGTCTCAGGGGGCCCCTACTGTATTATTCATTCAGGGGGATTGTAATAAAACATAATCCAGCTTTCTCACCCCTTTTACTGCAGACAATTTGCTATGCTATATAAAAACACTGCAATACATGGCAGTCCTCTAATTTGATTGACATTAGTCCACAGAAAGTTATGTGAGAAATTCAACTCTTGAAATCTTTTTCAGTAAAGTATTTACTAAGAATTTCCATCAAAGGAAGAAGGAAGTAAAGGTTACTGCATTTCATGGAAGGTCACTGTCTTCCCAGCTTTCAGGATGGTGCAGACAAAGCTCACAGTCAAATATCTCCTATGGTTTAATTACTGTAAACGTAAGTTTAGCTGGCAAAGAATGTGATTAACTGATTCACAAAGCCTCAAAGCTTAGCAAATACGAATGCAACGTTTGCCTGTACTCATCACCGCCTGCATATGATAAATGACCTTTAAGCTGAAGGAAAACAACAGGGCACAGATTGATATGTATGATAAATGTAGAGGTGTGCAACTCAAGCTATCAAGTTTCATTAAAACTAACGGGCTGGGTTTAGGCCAATTTTACCTTCATACTGCAAGTAAATCACATGGTTTCTTGCATTTAACCAAAAACCCATTGCCAAATGGAAGTGCAAAAATGCAAGTCCAAGTTTTAGGACTCACCACCACGTCACTCTATTGTACTTAAAGAAAATGGTGATATCTAAGAACATGACAACATCCCTAGTCAATAATACACAATTAAATGTGTCAACGAATGTGAGAGCATTCAAATGGAAGCTCAGTATATGAGTTAAATAATCTTTGCCCTTGATTTGGCCCCAAAGAGGAGGATGTCAGGTCATGCCATCATAAATCTTCAGAACTCCACAATAAGCAAAACCATTTTCCAGTCATAACCTACCATTAAAGGTAGGGTTGGCCATTCTTCTCAGAAGCACTTTTTGTTACATATCCTTCTCCTTTCATCCCAATGGCAATGAATACATTAAGAGCTGCCTGAGCCTGCAACACTGCCTCCTTCGGGTTCCACTTCCTTCCTACTGAGACTGTTGGTGCTGCACTACTGGTGCTACATCCCTGGATTTTGACAGCATTATCTCCAGTTTAGCCATAGCGCATTTAAACTCCTCTGTTAAACTGGTTACAGTCCCTTTTCTGTACAGGGCCTCAGCAGTGTGGAGCTCCCAGCCACGTCCTAATGTACATGCTAAACATTCTCTCTAGCTTCTCTACTTTAGAAATTGGTACAACATACACTGTCAGTGGCCATAACAATCCTAGCAAAAGAACAAACTGTAGGCACCACAGTTTGAGTTTGCCTGGGAGGCCTGACACCTCTATGCTCTTAATCCCATCAACTGCCTGCTGTCTCAAGCCCCGACTCTGCTCTTTATCACTAAGAGCTGCATCATACCTCTCTAACACTATTAGAATCGGCTCATCATTTATACAAAACCTTTTATCAGACAGCACACCTTTAACTATTGAAATGCTTCTTGATTTCAATGGCTTCACCTTCATTCTAGCCCACTTTAAGTCACCATTCAGCTTGTCCAGTGCCCCTTTGGTACATAGCTCTGTGGAAGTGATGGTTGTCAAGTCATCCATGTAAGCTCTTATGGGTGGTAACTGTTGCCTTAACCAAAGCCTTTCTCCTCCTGTGACCTATCTAGATACCCTAGTAATGAGCTCCATTGCCATGGTATACACTAGTGGTGAGATCCTGCCCTGCAGCCAAGCTGTAGTATACTCTGCTGTTGTGAAATATATCTGGATATCCAGAAAATATTCTCTCACTGGCCGTTTAACTAACTCTGGTACTTTAAAATAAGCTAGCAGTTTCCACAGTAGGCTATGTGGTACAGCACCAAAGGCATATCCACTGGCAGACCTAAGTTCCTGTCCCAATCTTTATCTGCATGCATCTTTTCTACATGAGCCTCTAGTTCTCCCGCAGGTACTTTCAAGGTGCCACTTGTCTCCTTATTAAATAGTGTCTTGGTAAACTTATATTAATCCTTATAAAAACTTCCATAGCACATTTGTTTTTCTGTCCAGCTTTTCTAAGCCTTTCTTCTCTCCTTAGATTTACCAACCTAGATTTAATTTTTTTAACACATTATTGCCCTCTCTCTCAATTTATGTTGCTTTTCTCCAGTGCTTTCTAAGGTGTCTTTGTTCCTGAACAAGTCCATCAATCTGTTGCTACCAACTTGACTTTACTATCTCTACTGCTGCTTTATTTCTACTCTTGCAAACTCCCAACCTGTTTGCTTAGTTTTCATAAATTACATCTTCCATTTTCTCTAAGGTCTTCTCAACTGTCCTTTTCAGTGCTTTGAGAGCATCTACCGGATCTGAATTAACTGTTGCCCATATGTCCTTGTCATTAGCCCTAGGCCAGTTTACTTTGGGTTTTTGCCTTATGCCCTTCTCTTTCTTTTGGCTGCCTACTCTCACCACTCTCCTGAATGTTCTGTTTGATGCTACCTTCTGTTTCCTCCTCAGTGGTAGGGATGCTGATATCTTGCGCTCTTTGGTTACTCACCTGTTGCTGAATTTCACCCGACTGACATGACTGACTTCTTAGGAAGTACTGTTCAGTGTGAGGGCCCTGATCGCTGTCCTCTCCACCTGCCTCCAAAGACCGTTTCTTTCCATGGTTGGAAGTCACTTTACACCAGCTACAGTGACATATCTGCAGTTGTCTTTCTTCTACCTTTGATACTGTTGCTTCCACTGGAGTGCCTGGCCTACTCAGTACCAAATCCGTTCCTAGGTCAATAACCGGGTGTCCTTGCCTGTGAGTCATCTTCCGCCCGTGCTCTCGCTGACTCTCGGGGTATGCTCTTTTACTTACTTATGGCTTGATTGGTGCAACCTAACTACACTTGGCTTCTGCTCTCACCGGTTGCCAGTCCATGCAGTCAGTTGTCTTTCCAGGCTGTCACTTGGTCTTTTCTTTGTTGTCATCTGCCCTATTCACAGCAATCACTAGAATCGTTCTAGCAATAACAATCAATAATACACAATGAAATGTGCCAATGAATGGTTTAAATAATGTTTACCCATTATTTGGCCCCAAAGAAGGTGGGGTGTCAGGCCATGCCAT